GTTAATGATTGCAAATGGCCTACTCATGGCACGAGTGACTTCAGGTCTCCCTCTGGTGGAGTTGAACCACTTCGATTGTCGTCACTCGAACCATCGAGTAAACTGGAATTGAACCAATATGACTTGATCGAATACAAAAAAAAAAATTTGTACCCAAACCCCTGGGACTTAAGGATCTATGCATGAGTTTTTTGTCTCTTCACCAATGTTGCTTGTAAATATTTTGACATTTATTTATGTCTCATTTGTGGATGTTTCTCCACTTTATATAATAATGTTTTTTTTTTGTTTTAATATCTTCAGATATTTTTTATGTCTGATTTGTGGAATTGCTTTCCACTTTGTGTGACAATAGTCGCATTCCTATTTTCTGCGACAGCTTCTTTTTTATAAAGTGGTTTCTGTTTGCTTTTAATTTGTTTGTTGGCGATGAACAATTCATCACCGCTATTGAAATTGCGAGGGGGCGAGCGAGTTTTATTATTTCTTGCATTTCTACTTTCTTGCTCATGCAATAAAAGAGCCTTTATGTCCTCATTTGTGTGTTCCCTAAAGTTTGCCAGTTCCTGGTAATTTATTCTAGCAGTCCTGTTAAGGAAAACGTCGGCGGGCTTCCTTTTAATCACCGAATGGAATGTATTATTATATCTATCAACAGATATCGCGACGCGTTCTTTGGTTGTTAGTCTAGGATATTCAGCGCAAAGTCAACGATCTGGCCATTGGCTTCGCTTCGTTGCGTTGGTGTTTTATATATTTCTATTCCTAAGGATCTAATGTAGTTTAATATGAGTGGGGTTAAAAATCCACGTTCATTGTCCATAACTAAAGCTCGTGGTACTGTAAAGTAATGCAGTGCAACTGTTAATTTTTTTCGCAAATGAGTGGAATATTTTTTCTTTATCGGAAAAAGCTTCGCAAATTTTGTGAATTTATCGATACAGCTCAAGTATTTCTGTCGCTCTATTTCGAAAATATCAATATGTAGGATCTCACACGGATAATTAGGGATAGGGGTTGGCTGCATATACGGCTTTGAAGGATGCCTATCATATTTGTGTAATTTACACGTTTCACATTGACTAATGTATTCCCTTATATGTTTAGACATAGCCGGAAAATAAAATTTTTCAAGGATTTGTTCCCTATTTTCGCGAGCATTACGATGAGCACGTCTATGCTCGTGTTTGATTATGCTAAATACCCTATGAGCAATCGTAACATCCTCCACTATGCGCTGCGTGATTCTAATTTTGTATCTGCTGAAATTATTAACATAAGCCCTTTGCAATGCATGGATCGAATCTTCTGGTATTTTAATGCCGTTTATCACATTTGGATTTCGATTTTT